TATATCCCCAGCTCTTTTGATTTATTAAGACTGGGTCTTGCTAAGTTGCCTACTTTTGCCTTGAAACTTGGTGACCCTCCTGCCTCAGCGTCCTGAGTAGAGTAGCTAGGATTATGGGCTGGCACTATCATGCCTAGCTCCCTTTCATTTTTTTTTTTTTTTTAATTAAAGGATAAGAGATGCTGACATGCTCTTCTGTTTTTATTTTTTTTAAGAAATTTAAAATTTCATCATGCAAGTAATATATTCTTTTGGGCAGAGATAAACCATAAAAAGAAAGAAAAATATCTTTTCTAATACAACTAATAGAGAATAGTCCCTGTTAATTTTTAGTAGCTATATATTTGTGTAAATAAAATTTTAGTAATAATACATCATTTTGTAAATCCTTTTCACTTAAGAGATATCATTAACATTTAACCATGTCAGTATATAGAGCTCTTCTCAAACTTTTCGCACTAGGGACCTCTTTACAATCTTAAAAATTGAATTTTTAATCTATGTGGCTTCTATGTATTATGTTAGATATTTAAAACAGGCTTAGTTCCTTTTGTTATGACCTATTTGAGTTTGTATGTATTGTTTGCTCTGCCTGAGTTGCCCTCCTAGCTTTACCTACTCCAATCCAGCTCAAACATCACTGACTTTGAAGACCACTATCCCTCCTACATACATAGATAGAACTCATTGGGCCTTACTTTGTGTCTAGTTCTGCATTTAATTCCTGCTTGGTATATTCCTTTCTAGGTTTTAGATCCTTAGGGTAGTAATAGTGTATTATTCAGTCCTCAATCTCTATTTATTGATACTTCTCTTCCTAGTTACTGAATTGGTGAACTATTATTTTTTTATATGCAGGTACAGTTGATCCATTATTTAATCTTCTTTCTTTCAGTTGTACCAATTTCATCAGATTTTGTGACTTTTTTGAAAATTTTGGTGGGACTTCAGAAATATAAGTATCTTGAATTTTCAGTTTGGTAACTTTTTAAAAAATATTTTTAGTTGTAGATGAACACAGTACTTTTATTTTATTTATTTGTTTTTTATGTAGCACTAACCCAGTGCCTCACACATGCGAGGCAAGTGCTCTACCACTGAGCCACAACCCCAGCTCTCAGTTTGGTAACTTTTATTATTATACATTTAGATATTATTTTATGAGGCTATCTATAAGCTATGGCTTGTGTCTTTTCTTTTGCAGAAATGCCTTTTGTAATGTATGAATGTGTATATGTTTAGTTTTCCACTACAAATGCTTTGCTGAGTTTTCGAAGTTGTGTAAGAATTACAGGAAATGCAGCTTCAAAGAAAATGGTATGGATTATAGCCCACTTGGCAAATCTCCCACAAATAAACTAGAAAAAAGGTTTATTATTCAAATTARGTTTGCTAGTTTCTTTTTTCCAGTACCCAGGATTGAACCCAGGGGTGCTCTACCAATGAACTACATCCCCAGTCCTTTTTGTTTTTTCATTTTGAGACAGGGTCTAAGTTGCTCGGGCTCGCCTTGAACTTATGATCTTCCTGCCTCAGTCTCCTGAGTAGCTGGGATTTTTTTTTTTATAGGCATCACCATTATACCCAGCAGGTTTACTAATTTCTTAACTAAGTGATTGACACAAACAGGTGATGAATACAGAACATTATTCAGTATATATATATATATATATATATATATCTCGAGGAAAATAAACACAGTGGAATATCCATATTGTAGCAGGTAGTCTCATGTTGTATAATTTTCGTGAACACTCTTCCTAATTAGAACCCATTTCTTTTTTGTTTTCCTCAATTAATATAGAATAATCCCCATCCTGATCTTTACCAGTTCTCATAATTTTCAGATAAATAATATTTTATCTAATTATTTCATCATGGCAGGGTTCTCAAACTTCATGTACATGAGAATATTCTGAGGTGTGTGTTTGTGGTATGTACTCCTTGTGCCTGTTGCTAAGTAGTTCACATGTCATATTTTGTCTTTTGGGTCTTAAAATTTTAACTCATATAGGATTTTGCTGGGCACAATGGCCCCTGCCTATAAACCTAGCTACTCAGAAGACCAAGGCAGGAGAATCACAAGTTCAAGGCCAGCCTCAGCTATTTAACAAGACCCTATCTCAAAATGATAAATAAAAAGGACTAAGACTGTAATTCAGTGATAAAGCATCCCTTGGTTCAAACCCCAGTAGCAAAAAAAAAAAAAAAAAAAAAAGGAGATCCTAACATTTTAATATCCATTTTTAATAAGTGATCCAGAGGAGAATAGCTATTGGGGGACAGAAAGGGGAGGTCTGGATGATTTAACAAAAAGAGATATTTTCATGACATTTTTCAGGACTTATAGGTACAGTGTATTTAATAGAGGCAGTAGGAATCATTCTTGTCCTGCCTTTAAAATTATTGACAACGTTTATGTTTCATTATGAAGTTTGTTATAGAATTTTGGCCCTTTCTCATGTCCAGGAAATTTATTCTGTTCCTACCAAAGCCTAGTAGCTTTTGTTGTTTTATGATGGTGGGATGACTGTTGAATTTTGTCATTTTTTCTAACATGAATTAGGATAATCACAGTTTTACTTCTTTAAGATTAATTTATCTGTCTTGAGCCATTCTTGCATTGCAATAAATGCTTAGAATATACTTATTTTGCTAATATCTTATTTAGTTTTGCTTAAGTGTTTTTTAAGTTTTCGAAATAGGATCATAGCTTTTTTCTCTTTTTTTGACCGAAAACTGGTTTTGGGTTTTTTTGTTGTTTGTTTTGTTTTGTTTTGCACTGGAGATTGAACCCAGAGGCACTTTACCACTGAGCTACATCCCCAGACTTTTGTACTTTTTGAGATAGTGTCTTACTAAGTTCCTGGTGCTGGCCTCAAGGTCCTCCTGCCCTAGGCTTCCAAGTCACTGGGATTGCCGGTGTGCATTACTGAACCTGGCTCGATTATTAGCTTTAGAGAAAAACTCAAAATGATTAAAGCAGCACAAATATTCTAAAATCAGAATACATCTATATTGATAGAAACAGYTTTGGGTGTTTTTTTGTTTGTTTGTTTTTAAAGAAAATCTAAAGACCTCTAGGTCCTAAAGGCTTAAACAGGAAATTTCATTTTAAGAGCTAATATAAAAATTTCATAGTTTGGTAATTCCTTCTTTTAAATTTGTTAATATTTATTTATTTTTTTGGTGGACACAACATCTTTGTTGGTATGTGGTGCTGAGGATCGAACCTGGTCAGCACGCATGCCAGGCGAGCGCGCTACCGCTTGAGCCACATCCCCAGCCCCCGGTAATTCCTTCTTTTATATGTTATTCTTCACAGTACACTTACTCTAAATTTTATTTCTTGTTTAGGTACGTATAGCTGCTAAATTCATCACTCATGCACCCCCAGGGGAGTTTAATGAAGTATTCAATGGTAAGTAAGGATTACTATTTAGTTATTTGAAGCTGTACTTTAATTACAGTCATTCTTTTAATCTGTTTGACAGGTTACAGCTATAGCAAAGGAAATCAACATTCAAAATGATTGAAATAACTTGTCCAAGGTCACCCTGCTAGTAAGCATCAAAGTAAGGATTTAATTCCAGGTCTGAGTTAAAGCTCTTAACCCATTAATTACCACACCTATCTTAGGTGAGAAAAGATTTAAGATAGTTTAACATAAAAAAGTAGAAACAATGTTAAATTTTATAGTTTTATTTTTATCATAATAAGTAATAGCTTAAATTTCATCACTGCTGAGCCAGGCACACCTGTAATCCCTGTGGTACTAGAGGCTGAGGCAGGATGATCACAGTTTCAGAGCCAGCCTCAGCAACTGACCCTAAGCAACTCAGCAAGACCTCTTTCTAAAATAAAATATAAAAAAGGGCTRGGGAGGGGCTCAGTGGTTAAGTGCCCCTTGGTTTAATCTTCAGTACCATTGCTTTCACTCCAGAAGTTCCATACTATAGTACACACTCTAGGGCCACTGGGGATGAATTGACTGCATCCAGGGAGCTTATTAAACTTAGAGTCAACTTTATCATTCCCTCAAGATTCTCTTGGTAGAAAATCTGTGCCACCTGCACCTCAGAGCATTAATCTCCAGGATATATAAAGAACTCAAAACACTAACACCAAAAGAACAAATAACCCATTAATAAATGAGCAAAGGAACTGAACAGACACTTCACAGAAAAAGAAATATGATTGGTCTACAGTACATGAAAAAATGTTCAACATCTCTAGCAATTAGAGAAATGCAAATTAAAACTATACTTAGGGCTGGGGTTGTAGTTTAATGGCAATGCATTTGCCTAGCATGTGTGAGGCACTGGGTTCTATCCTTAGCACCACATAAAAATAAAGCATTCTGTGCATCTACAACTACAAAAAAAGAAGTTTAAAAAAAAACTACTGAGGGCTGGGGTTGTAGCTCAGGGGTAGAGTGCTCGGGTTTGATCCTCAGCACCACATAAAAATAAATAAAGATATTGTGTCCAACTACAACTAAAAAAAAAAAAAGCAAATATTAAAAACAAAACAAAAAACCCCAGATTCCATCTCACTCTGGGGTTGTAGAGCACCTGCCTAGCACATGTGAGGCACTGAGTTTGATTCTCAGCACCACATAAAAATAAATAAATAAAATAAAGGTATTGTGTCCATCTACAACTAAAAATATTTTTWAAAAAAWGAATAAAGTAACAATGAATGTTGGCAATGATGTGGGGAAACACTCTGAGGGAAAAGATCTTGAAGGACCTCTAGATCTTAAGGTACGTGCAAGCAGTGAAGAATACAACCTGTGGGCTTACCCGTGCCATAGCATAGAACAGGCACAGAAAATCTGTGAAGTTTTATCCACGGTATTTGGCTCTGTTAACCTCTGAGAAATCTTGAACCCTGCAATAAAGTGAAGGYCAACCTCACCTAAGAATCCAGATGTTTCCTAATCATCCTGCTTTCAATCTGCAATGTTGAACTATTAGGGAAAGAGGAAGTGATGTCCTGCTTCAATTTTCTGAACAGACTGCAGTGTGATGTATAAAATATTGCTCATTTGTTTTTATATTAAAATGTGTCCTATTTTTAAAAATTCGCCTATAATCTCAGCAGCTCAGGAGGCTGAAGCAAGAAGATTGTGAGTTCAAGGTCAGCCTCAGCAAGTCAGTGAGATCCTGTCTTTAAATAAAATATAAGACAGAGCTGGATATTTGGCTCAGTGGTTAAGTGCCCCTGGGTTCAATTCCCAGTATCAAAAAATAAAATAATTTAAAAAATTGACAATCCTGCTTGGAAAGTAATTCAGTAATAAAACACTTGCTTAGAATGTGTGAGGCTCTGGGTTTTCTCTGCAGCACCGCAAAAACTAAAAATAAACTAATGGTCCTCACTAGACCTTCTGTAAAACATAGTTTTCTTTTGCTGTGAAATTCCTTAAGATTTTTATTGTTGGATTATTATACTGCAAGTAATTGTTTACAGACCTATGAACATTAGCATCTATTTATTGGCATTTTAAAAATATCTACACATACAGCTTATCTAAAGCCTAATTTTGCAAAGCCTGGATGTTTTTTGTTTTGGGAAGTAGGGGGGTGCTTTACCACTGAACCACATCCTCAGCCCTTGTTATTTTTTAGTTTGAGACAGGATCTCACTGAGTTGCTTAGGACCAAGCTAAGTTGCTGAGCCTGGCCTCAAACTTGGAATCCTCCTGCCTAAGCTTCCTGAGTAGCTRGAATTACAGGCCTGCACCACCACACCAAGTCAAAGCCTGAATTTTAAATATCTGTTCTAGAAGTCTACTAAAAATTCTTAAGTTTGTCCTGTACTTAACCTTTCAACACGGTTTCCTCCTCAGATGTCCGGCTACTACTTAACAATGACAATCTCCTCAGGGAAGGAGCAGCACAGTAAGTATCTTTTCTAAATCCACATACAATATTATTCTAACATTGGGTAAATTGGCACCCTGGAAACTAAGTTTAAAAATACTTCAAAATAAAGCAATTGGTCTTTTATTTTATTTTTCTTAGAGAAAACATGTGCCCCACCAATATTCTTTACTTACTTGAAGCTTATTATATGAACTTATTTTTTATTCATCCATTCATTTATTTTTGCTGTACTGGGGATTTAATCCAGGGCCACTCTACCACTGAGCTACATTCCTAGCCCTTTTTATTTTTTTACTTTAAGATGGGATCTCACTAAATTGCCTCAAACTTACAGTCCTTCTGCCTCAGGCTCCTGAAAAGTTGGAATTACCAGTGCACACCACTGTGCCAATTTATTTTTGTCTTTGTCCAGATTCTCCCTATTAGAGCAGAATTTAATGTTAGCTATTATGTTTTCTTCTATTTCATGTTGTTGTATTTTTGGTTTTGTTTTTGTTTTGGTGGTGGTGATGGGGATTGATCTCAGGTCCTTGTGCATGCTAGGCAAGCACTCTACCAACTGAGCTATATCCCCAGCCCATGTTTATATTTTTAAACTGCTGGTTATAGAAGGATTAGATTGCTAATCAGGATTGATGTATATCAAATTGCCAAATAATAACAGATATTCATAAAGTGCTTTAATAATTAAATTAACAATAASATAAAAGCTTTCAACCTTATTATTCATATCGTTGTCAGGCTAACTAATCTTTCTAAAACATCATTTTGCCCTTGTCCTCAGAAACATTGGGGGGAGCTATTATTCTTTTCACGACTCTCCGCTTCAGTGCCAAGTTTCATTTCACTTATTGTCTACCCAACTGTCTCAGAGTTCCTTTTAAAAAAAAAAAAATTAATAATGGCTGAGAAGAGGTGGGATGAGGAGGTCAAGGATATTTTGATGTAAAGGAAAAATAACTACCATAAAATCATTTTGGCATGATATGTAATTTGTTTAGATTTTAGCTATAAAGAACAGTTTGTTTGTTTGTTTGTTTATGTGGTACAGAAGATTGAACCCAGGGTCTCGCACATGCTAGGCGAGCGCTATACCGCTGAGCTATAACCCCAGCCCCTAGAGAAGAGTTTTAAGAGGTGCTACCCAGGAAACAGTCTTCTCCTGCCCTGTTCTGCTTCTTTGGAATTCATTTTGGGACTATATTCTGTGTATCTATGATTTACATAYCATCACTGTAATTGTCATCATGAATAATACTCTAATTACACATTTATTTAGAAAAATAAGACACATTAAAGATACACTGAATCTCATCTGTATCCTTCAATGGATGGTTATCCAGTGTAAATGCTTCTAGTAATAAGGAATTCCCTATTTCGCAAAGCAAGTTCTTCAATTTCCCTGCCACATTGGTCCTAGTTTTATATCTGAGAGCTACCCAAATTAAATCTACTCTGTATTTCTCTTGTCAAAGTACTGCTGAAGTCTTAGGGGGTTCTGTGCCACTTAAGAATGAGTACAATTTAAGCCTTTTTTCATAGTTCTGAAAATTAAGACTGAGTAGAAGAAGTTGRTAGGTAGTTCAGATGTTTTAATTGCACTGACTGACATTAAAGCTTTATTTTATATGTATAGACACTCCRCATCTTACAGACTGTAGGTTTTTGGAAAACCTTTCTTTTAAGAATTTTTCTAAGCCCAACTACTTGCTTATAGAGATGAAGGGTTCAGTTTTATTTCTATAATGAAATGCTTCAATCTCTTGACTGCAGTCTTCATATTTAGTGCTCAGTAAATGTTGCAGTAATCATCATCATCACCTCCTATATTAATTGAAGAAGTTCGGATAGATGTAAGATTTAACCCTTTCCTGGATTTCCACCTATGTTTCTAACCACCAGAACCTTTTCCTGATAATTCACAGCACTTCTGGTATAAATAAGATATTGTAGGTTGCATTGAAGAGTGAATTTTCCTCCAAGTGAGATAGGATGTTAATAAGAGTAAACATGATGAGTCTTAAATTTTAGAATGATTACTGGCTATGATTATTGTAATCACTATGTATCAGGGCAGAGGCTGAAGTAAGACAAATATTTGCAAGAGCATTAGAATAGTTTAGGGATAGATAGTAGGTGTTTGGACTAGAGTGGAAGCAGTGTGGGTGAGGGAAGGAGTCAAGATTCTGAATATACATTCACATAGAACCTGTAAGATTTGCTGATGGATTGGATGTAAAATGTGAAAGAGAAAAGTCAATCACTCCTAAGTTTTTGGCTTGAGCAACTGGTAAACGGAGATACTAATAGTACTTTAATTTTTTTTTTTTTTTAACAGTGCATTTGCCCAATATAACATGGACCAGTTCACACCTGTGAAGATAGAAGGATATGAAGATCAGGTAATAATTGCCCATTAGACAGACTATGCCTGACAGGTGGTTGAGATGATAGAAACCAAAGCTGATGTATGAATTAAGTGCTGAATAAATTTATGTCTTGATTTTCAAAGTTTTTAAAAATATTCTACACATTAGGAAATT